TGCGAAATACTCATTGTTCGTGTATACGCCGACAAAACAGAAGTTTCTTTCTTAGCTTTACATTGTCAAACCATTATGATTCGGATCACCATAATCAAGCTTTACATGTTTTTCGATAGGAGATAAAATAAGCTCCGCCCATTTTCCCGTCCACTACACTATCGTACATAAACGTATTTATCCGCTTATTTTCGGTATATACCGTCTGCGACAAGAAGGAAACAAGAACGTTTCCGTTTACCACACCTTTTAGGTGTTTAGATATTCACCAATGCATAATTGCCATTACATGTATATGCCTTTATTCAATCAACATCACCGGGCTTAATTAAGGTTACTAATGTAAAAGTAAATGCTACTACTTGGAAAGACAGCAGCCAGAATTTGAGCTGTATCAGTATCTGGTCGTAGCAAAATCTCTATCAGATGCTGACTTGAACATTTGAAAGTGGTAAGGTAGCAGCTTAACTGTCAATGTTACTGATTTTATGCAAATTGGAATCCCCACAGTAAAAATTATTTGTCGGTTGATATACGTACTGTCTCCAGTCTTATCAATAATTTTATTACTTCCCGAAACATTTTTAACCCTATACATAATATTGGTTTTTTTTTTAACAATGTAAAAACACTTTTTAAAAATTTATGCCTATAATATGTAAAAGTTTAATAAACCAAATATTATACCCAACATTACCAAATGCATGTCACATAATAAAGGGCTTTTTACGAGATAATATATATTAAAAGGCATTTCTCAACACATATTGATTTATCTTTGGGGATAATGATCTATTATGCAACTTTTCTAGCATTCGTTTCCCTGAAACCTTTCTAAAGTACAGGGGAAAAGAAAAAAAATAATTTTCATTTTATAATTAAACAAACTTAAAACATCTATACCTATAATGGTCAATATTTTAATATATGTTTGATTGTTTAAAAATTTGGGTTTTGCCCTCTACAATTACTTTAAACCATAAAAATACTAAATGACAGATAGTAATATGATTAAGAAAAATATTATTAATTTGGGAGTTTTATAACTGGAAAAAAAACTAACTGAATATGTTTTCCCATTTTTGTTGAAAAATTGCTTTATCAGAAAAAAGAACGAAAAAATCTTTTTCGGGTTACTGCAAAACAAAACTAATTTATTCTTGGAGTTTTTTTCCATGCTTGCATTAAAAAATTTAAAAATTACAAAAACAAAAAGAATACAACTTTAAAAAAAGTAAAACAAAAAATTTAAAACAATTTTAAAAAATAATTGGGAAAACCCAAATACTTCAGAAAAAAAATTACTCAAAAATTTTTTTCCAAAGATTTTTTTTCGTAATTAAAATCTTATTTTAAATTAAAACACTGTTTCCCCCACTACGTATCCCCACTAATACATTTTTTCAATTTAATTATTACATTTAAAATTTAAATTTTTAAAAAAGAAAAAAAATATTTTAAAGCAAAAAAAGGGTTTTTCGTTAATATGTATCATTTTTTTTTGAAATAATTTGGGGCATTTTATATTAAGTGTCCCTTTAACAGTTAAATTTTATATAATTAATAATTCTTTAAAAATTTTATTTTAAAAACAAAAAAAACTAAATAAAAATTTTTTAAAAAATTTATTTTAAAAATCTTAATTGCAAAACCCTCAAAAAAAAAGAAAAGGGTTACAGTAAATTAATTTTTGGATTTTTGTAATTTCTAAATTTTGGGGCAAATTTTAAAATTATTTTCAATAACAAAAATTTTTTCTTACAAGATTTTTAAAATTTTTATAATGAATACTATTTGTTTTTTAAAATTTTTTGTAGTAATTTTTTCATTTAGGTAGAAAACTGTACATAGTATACTTCAAAATGAAAAGCATTTGTGCTTGAATGTCCTTCAATTGATATTGACAGTACATTAAATAAGCAAAGGAACGTTATTATGATAAACAAATATCTTTTCGACATTTTATAACCCGATTCCAATTGTAAGCAAAGGAACAATAAGAAGAAAATCAAAAGAAAAAAATACGTCTTCACAAAAACAAACAAGAATTTTCCCATTGCCATGATTTATACGATGCATTTTTACTATGAATATTTTTGCTAAATGGTATAGAGGATGGAACATGTTAAAATTGTCCAACAATTGTGTCTAATGTCATTCTATAAATAAACTAAATCAGCCAGTTTTTTATTTACTTAATCACAACAATTACCAAAATGATTTTGTTAAGAAAGGATACTGTGTTGATAATTATCCTAAAAATATTAACTGAAAATTTGTTTTGCCACACTATTATCTGTGGCGGACGTGAGACGTTCAAGATTACATTGATTTAAGACCAACCGACAACACCAAGTTTATACCACGTTGTGTATCAAGCATTATTGAAACATATAGAGGAAAAACAATTAGGCACTGTTATCAACAGGTAAAAACAGAGGTTTATTGATCAATATTAATTTTGCACGGAGAAATTATACAATAAAAGATAAAGAATGAACAGTTATACGTGACTGTCCAATAAATACCAATAAAGGACAAGGACAATCAAAGGTACAAAGGACAAGGACATTCATTAGATATAAAAGTCATTTAAAACAGACAAAACAGTGAATGTAGAAAGATGACAGGGAGTGTTTAATTTAAGTTATAATTACATTTATATATTTAACAAATTGTTCTGGTTTTCCGTCTATCAGATACATATAATTACTAAAGCCATAAAATACACGAATATCTTCTTCAAAGATTTATTGAGGAAGTAGATTCATCAGTAATTATAAATATAAATCGAAGCTCAAGGCTTGGAATCAAGGAGGCGAAGAGAATCGATCTCAGACAAAATGACATTTGCGAACTGTTCCCTGATTCTTGAAATAATACAATAAAATATAATCATATACACAATTTAAATTGCTGATAAAAGATAGCCTGTAAATATTTTAGACCGTTTTTCCGTTAAGCAAATAATTTAAAGTAGTTTTCATCGCATAGACAATTTGATGAACATGATTGTGTATTATTTCAATAATTGTATATAAAAGCCTTATTTTATCATGATTTATCAAAAGAAACGAAGAACAAATTTTGCACAACATAAACAAGTTAAATGAATAAGATGCAGGAATGGGCCTCGTAAATGACTGACGGTGATTATGTAATTTTATGTTTCTTTTGTTGTTTCTTTTGCTTAATATCGTGACATTTACATTATCTATATGGATATCGTAATCAGTGAAAAAAATGGGAGACATAATAACTAACAGCAAAACAGTTAAGCATCTCATCCTCATGACAGACGATGAGCATTACTATCATCATTTATGTAAAAGGAAGGAATATATAATATATATATATATATATATATATTCTTATTGTATATAATTATAAACAGTATAACATTTGTTATCAAACAATGCAATTTCTATGTGTGGACGAGACATAATTTATGGCGTTCTTAAAAAGAATTAAATAATATTTTGATTCCTCCTTTTATGTCAAATAAATACTGGTATTAAGCTGACATTTAAAACAAATAAAGTTTGTATTAAATTTTATGTTTTGTCTGCGTATAGCGGACAAAAACATTAGTGCAATAAAGTTTTGTTGACTAATAAATAACTCAATTTGACAGTTTCAGATTCTTTTGCATTGATATGGAAAAACTCATAATAATTCATAAGAAAACGAGCCACTCGGCTAGCTACATAAATGATATGATAATGATACGCAAAAATCTGATTATAGTGTGAAATAATTATTTATTGAATGAGGCAAAGTGCATCTTTAGTTTGACTTCAACACTTTATGACAACATATAGATAACTGTATATTAAAGGAAATCTTTTAGATAATCAACTTCTCACAGAAACCAGTGATTATTTAGTGAAGTAGATTGAAAGAATATGTAACAAAAAGCTAAAGTGCATCAATAAAAATTCTGTTATTTTCCTTTAATTATTTTTTTTTTCTTTAAGAATTGAAATGAGCTTGTAAAATACATTTGATCAATTCAATTAATATTGTATCAGTTCATAACTATAATAACCAGTTTCAGTCACAATTATTTTTTAATTATACAAAGAAAGTGTGGAAAATATAATGCCTATGAAACATATAACTAATTTAAATAAAATATACATAATAAACACATGAACGATACATGTTCCTTTTCTGGTCCGGCTTTGTGTGCATCGGGTGATTTATTATGATTATAATTACAGGCTTATAAGAGAAGTCATTTGTCAAATAAATATTTAAACAAGAATGATTGTTCTGTCAAAGCACTTCAATTATCAAATGAAATATTTAGCTTTTACATAATTCATTTTATTTCGATTGTGGATGAAACTATAAGCGTATAAGACAAAATAATTCAATCAGTATTGACCAACTAATGTAATGATAATTATTAGAAGAAACAAAGGCATGTTCCTGACGAAAATATTTTGATGATTACTATTGTTTTATACTAATACAGTACCGTTGCAGTTTACCAAAGTGACAATGAATGGCGGGAGGTCGGTGACAGGTATCGTGTATCTAGTTAAAATTTATTTATCTCAATGTGAAAAGGTAACAACGCAAATAACTGCCATTTTCAAGGCAAACTAACTAGTTGTTGAAATGTCTTTTTATTGGGGACCTAAATCAAATGTAGTTCGAGTTATTTATCACTCTTGTTATTAGTATAATCTCGCTGTCAACAATTGACACAGAGACGATTGATGAGATGTAGCATCAATCATGGCAACAATACATCTGTTGATACAATAATTGTTGTCACAACTACAAGAGAAAACATGGCATTCTTATTAAAGAACGATTGATTTACAGAGCAAACAGTTTGATACAAATTATCTAATGAAAATATTTGCATGATGATCCAGCATTAGAGATAGCGTGCGTATCGGCGTCATTTACGCAAGCAAATTCTCAGGATACGCCAGCTTCGTCATCATTTTGGCGTATATCTACGCATACTAATCACAGTTTACGCATTTAGTGAAACAAATTTGGCGTAGGCAATGTTTACATTGACACCGATAAAAATGACAGACTGGTTAGCGTACTGTTCTATAAAGGTGTGTTATTTTCTCAGGCTGGGTTTATAATTGCAAACCAGTCGACATTGTATCACATTGTATCACTGAGACGCTCGGTAATAGATGTATATAAGATAAATCAAGCGTCTGTCACGTTATTGAAGTAGACGAAAAAATATTGTCAAATTTTATCAAATTATCAAATCGTTTACATCGAAAATGTCTTGTTCAAAACCCAAACAACGAAAAATCGACACATTCTACTGTGTAACAAGCCCAGTGTCTTCTCAGTGTGTTATTCAGCCAATTATTGAAGACATTTTGACTTTTGTTTGCAAGAGCAAAAAAACTCATACGACAGCATTAGACGCTACGATCAAATCATGGTGTAAAGGTTTCCCTTGGCTGTCTGTAACGTCAGATACGACAGATGTAGTGCGTTTGAAATGTGCCTTGTGTTGTAAGCACAAAATGGGTGGAAAATGGGCCACAGAAGGGGTTCTCAACATCCAAAAGTCTAACATTGAACGGTTAAAAAATTAGTTAATTGCAACATTTTATTTTGTACCTAGCTCCTATTTTTAAAGAAAAAATTACAATGAAACTAAGTTATACCTCACACCTTATTTAATTTCATTTATATGTTAGATAAATTACAGTAATTTGAATTTAAAATAAAACAGTAATCTCAACATATAATTTGGTAAATAAATTGTTGATTATTAGCCCACAAGCTAAAAGAATTCAGTGTAGGTCACAACTGTTTGCATGTATACAGTATACATTTACTTCATTTCACATAAAAATGGTTCAAGTTCTTATAATATGCCTTAAACCTTTTTTTCAGACTGTAATGTAAAAATACAATGGATCATAATATTTTTATAGCTTTCACCAAACATAGGTTACAATTTTGCTTAAATCCTAAATCAGTCTTTTATTTTATTTTGACAGGCACTGTACCAGCAGAGAACATCTTGATGCTGAAAGGGTGGAAATAAAAAAATCATCTGGTATAATTTCTGAGTCAGAGAGTGAAGATGATGTTGGTGATTTGTCAAAACAAGATTTATTTCTTTTCCGCACCATATATTGTCTTATGAAAAGTGAAACCCCCCTAAATAGATTAGATACTATACTAGAGTTACAGCGACTAAATGGTGTTGACCTAGAGTATCAGAACTTAAGCTGGACAACAGTTTCTGAAATTCAAAATATCATTGCAGATGGGTTTACAAAGGACCTTGTTAGTGAAATTAATTCTTCAAACGTTTATGCAATTCTCATTGATGAAAGTACTGACATTAGGGTAAGCAAAAGGTTATCAATTTGTGTAAGATATGTAAAGAATGGGCAACCAGTCACAACCTTTCTAGCAAGTACAGAAATCAGTGATGGAGGTGCATATACTGTTGTAGGGGCAGTGCATAGTGTTATTTTATCGTTAGGGTTAGACTTAACAAAGTGTGTCTCTCTGGCTACCGATGAGGCAAGTGTTATGATGGGAAAAAAGACTGGTAAAGGCGTCCAAATGAAAGCCAAATTTTCTCCATACATGACACAAACCCACTGCATTGCTCATAGATTGAACCTGGCAAGAGGTGATGCCATTAAGAAGAATGAAACTTTGAAAAAATTTAAACAGATGTTTGAAACTTTGTACCATTTCATGTCTGCATCAACTTTACGGATTAATAAACTTAAGGCTGTGCAGGATATACTTAATGAACCTGAAATAAGTATTAAGGAGCCTCATTCAATTAGATGGTTAGGGCTTAAAAAAGCTGTAGAAGCTGTATATGATTGTTATGGTGCCTTGTGAGTAACTCTTTCATCATTTGCTTGTGACAATCCAACTGCAAAGGGACTTCATAAATATTTTTCCACATACAAGTCAGCATTACTGATAGGATTAATGATGGACATACACACAGAACTGGGTGTACTATCATGTGAGTTACAACGCCAAAGCATTGTCTTCTCAGATGTTTATCACTTCTCGAAGGAACAGTTGGAAAGTCGGAATATATGAAAGAACATGATGGTAATGGTTTACATGAAATGAAAGACAGCATCGAGTTTAAAACTCAGTCAGATGATGAGGGAGAACCAAAGCCATTTTATAAGGGTGAAAGTTTGAAATATTATAAAAAGGTAACTCTGATTCTGAATTTCAAGCTGTGAAAAATGATTACATTGACAGTTTAGCCAGAAATATTAAGAAAAGAATCAGTAAAGTTGACTGTAATGTTTTATGTAGTTAAGGACTCTTGCTGGAACCTGCCTCTTATAGTGCAGAATGTGATAATGCTGTAGAGTATGTAGCACAAATGTATGGTACACATAAAGTAACAAAGAAAAACAGTTGAAGATGTTGTTATAGAAACTACTGTTGACCTCTTACTTAATGGTGATGAACTGAAAACTGAATGGCAAGGCATTAAAGCAATGGTAACTGGGTGTTATAAATCATTGTCACTAAAGGCATTTTGCAGAAAGATTATTCAGAGTTCACTGTCAACAAGCTATCCCAACTTTGCAAAGCTGGCTGAAATTGGACTCTGCATGGAAGTCACCAGTGTAGAATGTGAGCGGACATTTAGTGCACAAAACAGACTAAAAAGTAAATACAGGTACATTTCTGTTTGTTTTAAATTAAAACTGTGTGAATGTATATGTATAACAAAATACATGAAAATTATATTTTATTATTATATCATAATTAAGAATATATAATATTGGCACATTATAAAACAGGCAATAATTTATTGAACATGATGATATTTTTAATCAAAAAATCAATCTTATATGTATAATAGGTGGAAACTTTTAAAACAAAGAAATTGGTATGTGATTAATTTGGCACAAATCAAAATACTTGGTATAATGTATTTCTTATCCTGTTTTTCAGAGCTGCCCTGAAAGAAGAATCCTTAGAGGCTCTCCTTACTGTGTCACTAATTGGCCCAACACTCAGCCTGTTTAAGCCAGCAGGCAGTGTGAGGAGATGGGTTAGGGCAAAGCAGAGAAGGAAAAGGAGGCTAACTGCACCTTACAAGTCAAGAACACTAAAAAAAATTATGTCTAAATGTGTATGAAGTGTAAATACATGATACCAATAAATACAAGTGATCTAATGATACATTTTGTTTGCAGTATGGTTCATAAGTTTAGATGCGGCAAATTGACTCCCAAGTTCTTAAAACTGAGAGTAAAATTTACTCCTTCATTTGGCCAGAAACTGGCAGTTTACTCTCAAGTCTAAAAAACAGAGAGTATTGACTCTTGAGTAAAAATAATTATCTAGAACACTGAATGATCATTGTTGATTCCGATTTTCAAAAAATATTTTCTTTAATTTCTTCTAGTCGCAATGTACATCAAGATATCGTTGTTAATTCTTTGTTTCTAATATGTATTCTTTTCTTGATAACTTAATTCTTACCGTGAGGTTACTTCAGACAGCATGAGATATGTTTTCAAGATAGATGTGCATATCTATAACACCCGTATTTATGTTTTCTTTATGCCTTTGGTATTTATCAAAAGAAATTTACATCATTTTTGTCAATGACTAGTGATAAGTCAGTCACGCAAATACACAACCTAATAATTCATTATTTTAGTTATAATCAGAGGAAGGAAAAGCTAACAATTTATAAGTTTTATCCCAGAACGTTATATTAATTAAATTAGGTTTTAAATTAAAAACAAAAATGTCAAAATATATTTCCCTTAAAGGACTTGTTATTTTCAAATAAATCTAAAGGAGTAAGCTGAGGTTTTATCTAAATTTTTGGTTGCTTAACATGTCATAGCCTACAAATTACCACCCTCTGTTCCAAAAATTATCAGTTATCACAATAATAATAGTGGCAAAAGGAAAACACACCGACAAAGCTTTTTTTATAGGAATCTACACTGTCTCTCTTCTAAATCGTGACAAAAGCACTTTTTTATAAAATGAAGGATCAATCTAAGAATTTTTCATACAATCAAATATTATCGATATAACAAACTGTTTTTTCTTAAACAATTAGAATAAACGTTTTTGCCTACATTTAATCATTGTACAACATGTTGTTTGAATAGTGTGTTTATAAACGTGTCCTTTCTGAAGATATCCCAAGAGTCACTTACTTAATATGTTTTGACAATAATGAAAGCGCAAAACTAGTCAATGCATCCATTAAAGTATTATACATAATCCATTAACACATTTTAATCAGCAAAGGTTAAAGCGGCACTATTCTTGTACAATAAAAGTATTATACATAACTATGCATTAGCTGTTGAATTATTTATACCTGGTTCATCAAAACGTCATATATTGCTGATATAGGGAATAAACTTTAATAAATTATATAAATTAATACATATTTTTATTTTATGTCTTTAAAATTTTGACCTATAAACACTTCTAGCTAAAATCAAGCTCAGTAATTTAACGTTTCTCTTTGGACCCTTATTTTGCCCCCTACCTTTTGAAGAAAAAATGGAATCATAAACGATCAACACGGCAAAATGTAAAAGTTTGCAGGCTTTCTTGTAATTTTGTTGTCCGAGGGATTAAATTTTAACCAGATTTGTAAACTTCACTATAGCAGGTGCCAAGTACCGTGTTAAGGAATTTTGTAAGACAAATCGACAGAATCAAATATTTGCGTATTTTAGGGCCAATCTTCTTAAATTCCTTATGTCAGCCTTCCTATCTATTTCAACAATACATCGTTGTGCAAATCAACCTATGAATATTTATGAAGGTTCATTATATTTAGATGTCATATTTAAGAATTGCGTTTTTTCACATTGATCATAGTTCACGTTATATTGCACAATTGTGTCATGCTGTATTGGTATCTCTTTGGCGATGCATTTTTGACAACACTAAACTTCTTAATGAGACTTTACTATATAGGATGTTGTTTAGTTGGAATGAGAATATTGCTGTCACGTTTAATCATTTTTATAAAGGCGTGCTCATTTGAAGAGAGATAAACAGAGTCCATGAAAAGCTCTCAAAATGACAAACAAACAAAATGATGATGGTATGGATTTTGTTTTTCTTTATTCTGTTAGATATTTTTAAAAAAATCATGGAATGTAATGAAATAAGCCCTTGTGAGGTTTGTCTGTAAATTGCTGACGTTCTACAAACTGAACTACAACCATAAACAGATTTCCCGTAATTTTTCTGTAATTTCCCGAAAAATATTTGTACGAGAGATAAATTATTCCTAGAAATACTTTCACGGACAAAGTTATCAACAATTTATTTGTGGTTCTAAATAAACACGTCATTAAACACCTCCCTCTGTGTCAAATGTTTTTAAGGATTGTGCTGTACATTATGGCTTCAGTAATTATCGACATGACGGAGTATGAGAAATGGTGTTGTGTTTGTCTATTGTAGGACCAGTTTCAAAATCATGACATCACATAACGTTTACCTATTCATGCAGCAATAACATCATAAATACTGTTTATGTAGTACAATTTATTTGTTAGTGAGCGAATTGGAAAACAAATGGTCAAGTTTTTGATTTTTAAAGAAATGTATTTATTCTAATAAGCAATTGCTAGTGTAGCCATCCGTGTAAATGAAAAAACGATCCCCGTACATTCAACTGGCATAAACAAATGCAATCCATTTTTACATTCAATTTAAGGTAACTTGTATGACAGACATCGCTGACCTTGACATTTTACACTACAAAAATTCAAACATTTAAATATCAGAAACTACCCATCATTGAATCGCATTATAACATATGTTGATACATCACAGTAATAGTTCAATGTAAAACCATTTCCAAAGGCATAAGTCAGTAAATTTTTGAAGTAACTGAGAAATAAAAATAGAATTTTCATCACGTTTTTTATGTCATTTTTTTCAAGTTATCTATTTAAAATAAGTTTAGCATTGGTCACACAATTATTCTGTTTAAGTGTTCCACTTGTTTAAGAACTGAAATTAACATTTCATTAAATGCTTAATTCTCCAGTATTATGACATTTGAAAAATTTGAGACGCCATTTTGTATTTTTTCAGCATGGAAATCGGTTTTGTTTATGAAATTAAACATAAAATAATGTCGTCATTTGCACGGATCGTTTTATTTCTTACAACAAAAATGTAAATATTACCTTCTTCTATGTATTGACTGATACTTGCTCCGAATTATAGCACATTTCTCTGACTTTAATGCATAGAAAAAATCACTTCACATTGTTTTATAATGATAAAATTACCGATTTGCATTCGAAAGCATTTTTGTCAACAATTGACAAAATGTTTGTTTACATTTTTTAAAGCATTCAATTTCAGCATTGTATTTTATTTTTTGAACTCCATTACAGATGGGATAATTATAATATTAGTAAAATATTACATAGATAAAGCTGCCAGAACACAACTTTTACTTACCAGACTGATAAGAGTCTCCTTCCAAGACCTCCTGGGCACCCTGCATACACCGTGTAGCTTTGTATATTGTATGTGATGAAAAACTCAGGTGCACTACATCAGCAAACAAGAAAAATAATAAACACGCAAACTTGAACACATCTGCAGATGTTTCTAAATTCAAAATTTTACCATTTTCGTGTTAAATGTTGAATTCTGCTTAAGCCGGTGCTAGGGGACGTGGACGGTAACTTGCACTTTCCAGTACCGTCCATGAACAGGCTCAATCAAACCCAGCCTGCAACATTTTCAATTGTGTTGTGTTGAGGTATCTTTAGGGATTCTGTTTTTCTCTATTTTATTGTCACATCCGTGTTATTTGTGTCGTGTGGCGGCTGTAAAAAGTCTCCCCGTACATCTAATCAATGATGTTATATTTTCGATCCTTGAAGATCGTTCAGCACGACATTATTGTTGTGTATACATGTTATGTGGTACTTTAATTTTCTTCTTTTCGGCCATTTCAACTTTGGTGGTTCCAGTATTCCTACTTGAATACTGTATAATCACCCTTAGGATATGTTGCCTGCTTTTTAAATTTGTCTTTTGACGTCTTATCTGTGATATGCAGGCTTCATAACCTCAGATCCCCTTTCAAAATTCCATTTTATTTAGTTCCGCCCATTGTTTTCTCGTTTAGGGCAAAAAGCATTCTTTTACTTTGGGACCATTCGCCGCTTTTCATGGAATGGCACTTCTGTGTCACGTTGAAGGTTCCATGATAATCGCCGTATGAACACATCTGCGGATGTTTCTAAATTCAAAATTTTACCATTTTCGTGTAAAATGTTGAATTCTGCTTAAGCCGGTGCTAGGGGCGTGGACGGTAACTTGCACTTTCCAGTACCGTCCATGAACAGGCTCAATCAAATCGAGCCTGCAACATTTTCAATTGTGTTGTGTTGAGGTATCTTTAGGGATTCTGTTTTTCTCTATTTTGAAATTACTTTTTTGGAAATGTGCATTTACGCACAAAAACCAGAACACATTTACTTCAGTTACCTCTGCGATGTAATGTCTTCCTTCATTGATGCAAGCTGCCGTATCGTGGACCCTATAGTCAAGAGACTTAGTTTTCCCATAATGGAAGCTCTTAGGCGCTCTTATTGAAAATTCCCTGTTGGCATGTTCACAAGCTTGTGATGAGCCAAGATCCGCATATTGCTCTGTATTGTCGGCAAGAGGTTAAAAAATCCCCTCCAAGGCTGTCCGAAGTTGTTCGTCCTTCAATGGGGCCTTGTAAGACAGACTTCTGTGGACATTACTCTTTCTGTCTTCTGGTGAACGCATATTCCTATACAGAATCTCGGATGGCACATACTGTGCCATATATGGAAGTATATGGAAGTACGTGTACAAAAACCCTGACAGTCCTTTCTTCTGCTCACCGATTACATTATATGCGGTAAGAGGGACAGGCCCTAATCCACATTCTTTACAGTCTACCTTCCCTCCACTTGTTGTTGAAAACTTTGTATTCCTTTGTTCCGGTATTCCTTGAATATTGACGTCACCTGAAGTGTTCGGATTACCCACGACGTAGTTGTGTTCTTCTATAATATTTCTATTAGTCCGTAATTTAACACAAATACTCCGTTTTAACATAGAAAATCGACGGTGCTTGTCTCTCAC